TTTGCTTTGTTCAGAGCCCCACGGTGGGCGCCAAATTGTTTGAGGTGAAAATGGTTTGAAACAATATAAAGAGAGAGATGAGGGCGAACAAAGACGTTTTTATTAGATCTGAACAAGGAGTTACAAAGAGAAGAGTAAATCGGCGGACTAGCCGGAAGTACAAGATGGTGAGTAAACGGGAAGGTGACTAAACAGGAAGGTGACTAAACGAGAAGGTGACTAAGCCCTAGATCTAACCACCTAATCGCTAAGAAACCCTAGATCTAGCCGCCAAGTGAGTATGTCCAATTCCGGATCCCTTTTCCCTTTGCTGCCTCTCTCCTTTTATAGATCCAATCTTCGTGTTCGCCCTAGTTTACCCGAGCCTTGTTGGGCCTTATTATTACAAGGCCCGTTTAGTAGTCCGGGTAAATCGTACTTCCGCCGACTCTTCTAGAATACGTTTAGTCGCGCTACTAAACGCGTCTCATGCCGAGTCGTTTTGGTGTTACCCGGTAGGCCGAGTATATTGTCATGTTGGGCTAAGTTTCTTCATTTGATGGGCCTTGTGGAGGGGTATAACCCATCTCCTACATGTCTCAGCCTCATTGTACACCTAAGTCAATATCAGAAACCTTTCTAATGATAAACCCTTCCTCGTTCCAGACCTTGAGATATCCTCCTCACCGCCACGAATGATCCTCCTCTATCATCCATCTCCCTCTCTCTCTCTTCTTCTTCTTCAGTCAAATGCAGAAACCAAAACAAATACACATCAGAAAAGAACAATAGAGTAATCAAATCGAATACAACTCTCGCAATCTGATTAACACAGACCCAATGCCAAAGAACAACACACAGACATAGCAATAGAGATTCGGACCTTAACTCAGCAATTTAAGTTAAGTCAATTAAGCTAATCACTGATTCCGACTTACCTCCATCGCTTCAATCTTTTCCATTGTTAACACCCAACCCAATTGAAACCCTAGACGAGTCAATTGGAGTCCATGCAATTCAATCTTTGGCTCTTTCCTCGCCGAATCGTGATCAAGTGGAGGAGAGAAGAGGAAGAAAAAGCGTGAGAAGAGAGAGAAGAAAGAGTCCACGTCAACAAGGACTTAGTCTTTAAACACCCTAACTAAGGATTCATCCTTAGCCGATTACATTTTTTAATATTAATTTAACCTCTAAACGGCTAAGGATTACAGATAAGGACTCATGGTGTTACCGCGTTGTACATGCTCTTATGGGCCTATTATTAGACCATCCTTTTATACATTAGTTGAGAAGTCACTTTAGTGAATTTTCTGACGTGTCAATCATATATACCCGAATCTTATAATATTATTGGTCGATTTTTTTTTAAACATCACCGAATATTAAAACTAGAACTTATTAATACACATTGTCAAACAGATGAAATGAACAAGCTAAAAATGGTATGCTTATCAGATTTATGTTTGTTCAATCCCTCTTTTCTGCAACACCTAACGCCGC